CAACATACCACGTGACACACAAAAATCAATGTTTATCTGTTGTTTCTAATGTTTACTTTTAAATCAACAACTTGAGTAATTTATAGTTCTAAAATTTGAATTATAATCTATAGTTTGATGCCAAACTTATTTACATAAATTCTTGAAATAATAGTTCAGTAATGTGAGTCAACAAACGAGATGACATGGCCTTTTACCTGTGACCCCTCTTGAAAGGGTTAATAAATCAAATGCAGTTAACCTTTTGGATCTTATAAGCAAACTTATCCAGCATAGTTCTGAATCAGAATGTTAACATTTTATTAGCTTAGAATGTTTTTTAATTAACAGAATACAACTGCTTTTCAATGATAACCATTAAAAATTCCCCTTTAGCATCCAACGTGTATTTTGAACATTTGTAAAGGTAAATTAAAATAAGTATTATCAAAGAAAAGTTTAAATTTAAGAGAAACTTTAATTACATAATTTATGATTTTATCTTTTGTAGTAGTATACTATAGGTAAAAAGCCTCATAAAAACAATTGTCTTTCCACACTTATGAACATTTTGTCATATGTACTAGATAGTTCTCAACATCTTGGTTTTTAGTTTTCTTAGTGCTTTTACTAGATTTTGTTTCATCACTTGAATATAATTGACTAGAGTATATTCATAGCACATTCCTTCTGAGAATAGACACCTAACTTAAATCAATACAGAGAACAATGTATTTTTTTATTTTGCACTTAATAAAAAACTATTGATGGAAGTATTTTTGTTTAGTCAGTTGTTAAGAGGGTAATTGGTTAACTTAAAATGTTTATTGAAGAAGTAAAATATTGTTCTACATATAACTGGAGTTTTAAGCCCCTGCCATCCTTTCTTGTAGTGCATAAATAATGAAGCATGTAGAAAATTTTTCTTATTCCCAGTCTTGTTTCTTAAGATTTTTCTGAAACTATCACATGAAGTTAGCTTTCTTTTCTGTGGTTGCAGTTTCAAACAGTATTTTTTCTCTGTTTAACGTAGGTTCAAAGTCTCGAGTGTCTGGGTTCTTTGCAGAAAATCCATATGATGGAACAGTAACACGCCGTGTGAAAAAAGCCTATGGAATAGTTGATTCTTTTAGGTGTGTTAAACTTGTCTTATGCCAATTTTATATAATTGTTTTATTCCAATTTTTTAAGTTTTAATGCAAGACTAAGTGCAGTATTGAAACATGGATACTTTTAGACCATACTTTTAGTTATAGTAGCATGTTAAGACAAGACTTCAAAATTCTTAGATCCAGTGCTTACTTCTCTTAAAACATTTATGACAAAGTTGTGGTGATCAGTTATCATTAATTGCCTAGAAATGAACATTGAATAATAAAAACACTAATTAATAATTAGACTTGGGTGATGATAACATAGGCCACTAATCATCGTAACGATATTTTAAAGTAGGTATGTTGCATTTAGAAAGTATATTGTATTTCCACATGTTAAAAATTATTGATATAAACATAAACTTGGATTATATATAAATATTACAAATGTCTTTTCTCTTTCAACAAAGGTAAAATTGAAAGATTATACTAACTTAGGTTACCATATGACGAGTTAACCCTTTCGCAACGGGCTTGGTATAAAATGAGTTCGTATATACATTTGCACACATTAAGCATTTATACTATAACTTTTAATGCCGTATGTGTATTTTCACAAAATTTTGTAAACTTTTAATAATGATTCAAAGTCTTTTGTACACACAAAAAAACAACAGATTTTTAATGAAGATTAATTCGTGAAAATTTCAAGTCTGTTTCGCTACTAATTCGAGTGCGAAGTGATTTTCCTGTCATGATTAAAAAACTATTCTTCATCCCAAAAATTATTTGTGTAATCTCAAAACCTCCTAAATACATTTCAATTGTTTGTTTTCAGTAAAACTTTATATTTTGTCTGTTATTTTCTCTACCCCAACTATACGGGCTCTGTCAATTTAACAGACCTCGTAACCACCATAATAAATTTGGAAATAAATATAAATTATGCTTTTTTCATTCTAGAATGACTACATATTATAACACAAAAACATAAATGTTTTGTCTAAGTAGCTTAAATCTCATAACATAACATACATTTATGTTTATTTATTATATTGACGTTACAATGATGTGGCTCATGTTACCGTATCAAATAACATAAAACTGACCTTTGGTCTGTACAAAGTCACATTTCAATTATTAAGTAATAAGTTCTTAAACTTATGTTTCTTAAAACTAAGAACAGTAAATAAAGAAGTAAAGGAAACAATTATCTCTTCTAGATATGATGTTTGTACTCGGTTGCTAAGCCTTTTAAATTTCGCACATAGAAAGAGAAATAATATTTTTTAGGTTTTATTTATATACAGTTGAATAACCAAAAAATCATAAATTACTATACTGATACCACTATAATTTATCAAGCTATATTTTGGTCTAAAAAAATATGAAATTTCAAGCAGAATAAATACACAACCTATCTCCTCAAAACCTTGTTTTGAAAGAACAATATGGCATCCTAACACCTGAAAATTGCTGAGAAAACCACTAAGGGGACATTCTGAGCTTTCGATTGGTTATTCACATCATTTACACAAGTGTATATAAGGGACAATTTCAAAAAATGGAAAGAGGTGAGTGGGGCCACTGTGTTTGATTCATTACAGGAGTGATATCTCACCAAATAGAAAAAGATAGAAGGTGCTTGTTAATATCAGTTTGAAACTCTAGACTTTGTATTTTGACATCACAAACATCTAATTTGATCTTGTGCTGCATTCAACATACCACGTAAAAATTGATGTTTTTGTTTTTTTTATATATACTTTTAAATTAAGAAATTGAATAATGTACAATACTAAACTTATTGGCATAAATTCATAAAATTTTGAATGCACATCAACAAGGACTCTAAAACCCCATAAATCTTATAAACTTTGATTACCTTCAAAGGTAGTTTTTTTATGATTATAAACGTATTTTAAGTAATTGCTAAAAAACGGTGTATAAAAATATTGTCTTAGTAGTTTGTTTGTCATCTTGTAGTTTCATGGTAAATCACAAATTAAATTTCCATATATGGATACAATGGATAGAAATGAGATTAAAACAATCTTTTTTCCATCAGTTTATGGCTTTATTGTCTTATGATGAACAATATCACCACACATTTTTGTTTTTATTATTTTCAGTATTCGACTGGGTGTATTTCTGAGACGCTATCCTATGGCACGAGTTTTTATGATATTTTATATGGTAAGTTTCTGATATCACACTACTTTGGGTCCACAAACCCTATACTTTATCATTCCTTGCTGCACACCTGGAGTTTAAGAGGAAATTAATATTAGCATGTAGATCTTCAGTTGTAATTTTTTTTTTTGTTTCCATCCCATCCTCACATTATCAGCACTGTGCATACACTTCAACTACACAAAAATTTGATATTGTTATGGTGTGAACATCTTTTACAAGCTGGCAAAACATTATAATGAATTGTACTTGTCATAAGATGTTAGGCCTGTTATATTTTTTAACACTACATTCTAAATCTAGTGCCTTAGGGATTTTCAAGAATTAGTAGTGTGTATGATAATAGTATTTCAACCACTCTATATTCATTGCAGGTGGTGGGTTTCCTTCCCTCAATCCAGAGCTCTTCTGGATGGCTGGAATGAACAAGTATAATTGATTACAATTATGCTTCTCCAGCTTGTAAAACTTGTTCACACCATAACAATTGTTGTTATAACGACTGGCCTATATAATTTGATTTTTTTTTCAGAGAAACTTAGATTTTTAAAAATTGTAAACTGCAATTTTTTTTCACAAGTTAAGAATGTTTTTGTAAACATTGTGCTTCGTAGTTTTCATAGTATTAAAGATCTTGTGCTTATGTTCATTTTTTTTTATCATTGAATATAATATCTCTACCTTTATACAGGTCTTGCTTCATTTCTGGGTGATGGTAGTTCTGTGTACTTACCAACCAGAAATCCACAGCCCAAACTATCATCCAAACAACACACTATGATCATCCAGGCAACCGGCAACTCTTGCAATGTTGTGAAGCATGTACATAAGTTCTACTATGGTTATAGGAAGGATGTTAAAAAATTTTGTACAAGATAATTATAATTTATCAACTGTGTGGCTACCTTGGCCTTGCCCACCATTCACAGCCAATGTAGGTGTAACCACAGACCTTTTACAATATTAGCTGTGAGACTTTCCTGTTTGTAAAGAGTAGTAAAGTTTATTTTACTTGTATGGCTCTTCACGATAAATTGAGCATTGAGTTAGTTCTTTTCTTTAGCTCTTGGAGTGGTGAAAAGCCAGTGTACTTTTTCATATTGTATATTTTTTTCACAAGTCTAGACCTGCTTCTCTAAATAACATTCTTTTATCATTAAGTGAAGGAACAACTGTTGACAGAAGAATAAAACCCATTCCCAGGTTTTTATATTTTCAAATAATGTATTTATGATCTAAATCTACATATATTGCTTGGGATTATTTAGATTAAAAGAGCTGGTGCTACACCCTTCAAATATAAGTTGTATTTATGATAATTAGGAAGTTTCATATTTATAAACAAAATATTACCCAGGTGTTATGAGAAAAATGTATTTATATGATATGCAATTTTTAGAAAAGTTACTAAAACTATCAGAGCTAGCAAACACCAATATCAGAAGAAAGATTAATCTTATTGTCAATTTTCAATACACTTGAGCATTTGTCACTTATATCGCAAGATTCTGAATACAGAAGGTGATTATAACTGGGCTCAGCAAAGTAATTTCATTTGAACTGCATATGGCATAACCAGCTCCAGGCTACTGTCATTAAATGTATATAGAGCCTGTAGCTTTAACTCATTGATTGATTACCAATGCCAGAAGCAGATGGCCAGCTGACCCACATGTTGATTAGAAATACTATTACCAAGTGGTTGTTTCCTGGAGGGAATAATACTATAGAAATAATGGATCTTTGTCCACATTCTTCTTAATTTTTTCACGATCAACACAAATGTTACATATTGTTGGTATTTAACCCATAACTTTGTCTGTGACATAGATACACTAGTTTAATTGAGCATCTTTTTAACTTTTGGAAAACATTATGTATGTAATTGACATAAGTTATGGCTAATTTTAATGAAGAATAATGTTTTTAGTACCTTCGAAACGTTAAGGTCAACACCTGATTATATTAGTTATTTTTCTGCTAAACCATTCTCAATAACAAGTTCCTGAATCAGAGAAGAAAAATTATGTATATCTTTAGAACAGTAATTTAAGAAAATATGCCAGACAGACAATGAAAATTTTTATTACATAAATTTTTCCTCTGGATGTTCTATACAATTACCAATGCACTTAGTAAACACTCAACATAAAACACCAGCTACACAGATTTTAGAAAAGGCTCACACTTCTCATTGGCCAGCTTTGCCTTAAATGAACCAATACTGTTCAAACAGATTCTTTAACATGTACCAATCAGTGCCATCAAATTTCTCAGGAAAAACAAACAAAAATCACTAAAATAAAATATAAATGCAACTTTTTATCTAAGTGGTTAGTTCAGACATGAATAAGCTCAGTGAGGATAGTAAGATGGATGGTATCCTGTCCATGGCTGTTGGTAGTTATATGGATTCTAGAAAAAAGTATAAGAAATGGATAAATGACTTTTCTAAAGCATAGTAAACTTAGTTATATTTATGTAGGTATTAAAAAATAATGTGGAATTTTCTCTCTTGGGTGTAATCAACTAGAACTGAAATAACTTAGTGACAAGTGGCAGATCTAAGAATAGTTTATATCTCATATGGTTTGATAAGAAAATAAAAATACTGTATTTATACAGTGGCCCTATTATAATACAACTTTAAAGAAAAAAAGTGGAAGTGTTGATTTTATAGAAGTCAATATTCATGAAATTGTATAAGCATTATATGAAAAATAATCAACATACAAGCTAGAGGATGGAACAATTTGTCCATTACTTTAAACAACAGCAGTCTTTATTCTCCATTCATTCAAACTTGGGAATTGCAGTTACAAATAATTGACAGATGTATACAATATGCATGTTATTCTAGAATGAAATGTTCTACAGATAAATTACAGACCAACATGAATAGTTACAACTTATGAAAATATTTTACATAATTTTGACTAGGTTCATGCTAAGTTTCTTTAAATGTCAGGGAATTTCATTTAAAAGTTTCAAATGTACTACACATAAGTTGATGTACTGGCCATACCTGAGGGTAAGCTCCTGGCCAAGCCTGATGGTAGCCATAAGCTGCTGATGGATCAGGAGCCATTGGTGCAGGAGCAGGTTGAACTGGCTGAGTAGGTACAGGAGCTGGGACAGGAATTGGAGCTGGTGCAGGAGGGTTCACTGGAGCAGGTGGTGTGGATACTGGTACTGAGCCATTGATTTCAGATTTGGCCTTTTTCTCCACAGAACTTTCATCACTAGGAAAAACCGTTAAAAGGTTGGGCAATTAGCTTTAACTCTTGTTACTACACAAGTGTGCTTGATGTCATGCCAATATTCCTGATGGGATTTAAATTTTTATCACCTAGTATGTAGGTTCAAAATGATGCAATATTCTGAGAATTAAATAAACAAGGAAGTGCCTTATCACACTCAAGAAATTAATACAAAAGAGCCTTTTGACAATTTACAGATTACATCACACTTGTGCATGGGAGTTAAACAATTTCTTTTGCTTAACCAAAATTTCTAACTGTTCCAAGTTATGAAAATAGTAATTCTTGCTGAAATAAGCTTCCTCACATACCAATTTTTAGATATATAAAGGGGGAATAACCAAAGAAATTATTTATAGAGCTAACACTTGAAACTGATAATGTACTGTTCAATTTTGCCAATTAATTTCAAAGGTTTGACTACACCTAGATAGTCATCTCCAGAAGTGGAGACAAACAATTCAAGCTTAAAAACTATACAACAGAGCTAATCTGAATTAAAAACAAAAAAAAAAAAGACTGTTTAGTATAATTGTTTTTAACAAGATGAGATATATCGGAATTAAATTCTATGCTGGAAGGAAGACTAAATTTCTGTTCGTATGTAATTTAGGGTATTTCTGAATAATTAAAGAGCAGCTCTTAATCTTAACCCATACCTGTTTCCAAAAATACACGTCATTAAAATGTAGTCAAGAATTGTTAATATACCACAAGCTGGATAACTTTCTCAGATTAACAGCATTTTCCAAAGCATTAACATCATTTTGAAACTATTAAACCATAGTAAACTCTTCGGTAAAAGTATTCATCTACAGAAATAAGTAATAAACAATGCTAGAATGGTGAACACTAGAAATCTAAAGAGGGTATTAGTTTGTGAAAGTCCACACACTTTACAGAAACCAATGATATTAGTTACCATTAAGGGATCTATAGCATGTCAATAGTTGTTAAACCATTTTAATTTTGATAGGTAATTTGTTCAAGTTATCTATTTATGATTAAGGTTTAAACTAGCATAGAAAATGTTTCCACCAATTATCAGTCAGCACTTATGAAAACAAATACTGCCTGATTACAGACTAAGTGGTTTACATACTTTTAGCAGCTGAGTTTTGTACTTCTAAATTGTTTTCAAAGAAATACATGCAAAAGCTGCTATTTTTTCATTGCCTGAAAACTATTCAAAGAACTACTTAACTTCACAAAGTATTTTATCTTTAAACTTGATATTGTAAAGTTAAATTAAAATCAAGGGATAAAGCTTTAATAGTTTTATGATTAGAAACATTTAAAGACTGTTTCATTGTTTTCTCCAAGCAGATATGCTCTTTGACATTTTCAAAAAATAAGTTAAGTGATACCACAACAATGAAATGAAGTAGGTTATTATAAAAGCATAATTAGTTCTAAGATAAGTAATAAATTCAGGTAATCTTTCTTCTCCATGATAGCATCAATCTATTAAACTACTACAAAAAAACAGAAGGACAATGATTTTATAGTTACATTCTTCTTCATTCAAATGGATAATAAAGTTAACATTACATTATATATTTTAAGACCTAGGTAATATACATAGATAGTAGATTAATATCTGTTCCAATCAGTGTTTATTCATAGATCTGAAGCAAGTCTTCTTAACTCTACACATTTGTGAAATCTGTTCCTCTGGACAGTGGCCTATTAAGTCCTAACATTCATGCTGTGCAAAAAAGTGATGATTACATAGTGAAGTTCATTTCCATTATTTTTTTATATCCATTTATAGACCAGTTGTCACCAAATAATTAAATCTAAACAAAGTGCCAGTACTTTTTTTTTCTTTGTCCAGTCGCTCTTGCAAAACGTGTACATTCTTGTAATAGGATATATAAAATATTCACAGGATTTTGAAATACAATATAAATGTTTGCCTCTTACTTTTTTTTACTTTAACCTGTGTACCTGCCAACTTTGAAAAGTCCGAAAAAGTAAAACTGGGAAATTTAACATTCAAAACTTACAATGTAGCAAATAATTGTGTAATAACAAATTTTAAAGAAAAGTAAAGAACTACCACTGGGATTATTACTAAATCAGTGTTAATATTGCCAAAATACATGTTTAAACCTCAAATAAAATTAGTGATGAACTATCTTTTCAACTGTAAAATGTATATATCAAGCAGAATTTGCAAGTCTAAGCAGATTTCTGAATTTGTTAAGCTCAATAACAGCCTTGAAGAGAGTAATATTATTCACATGTTAAATCCACAATGAATTTATCTAGCCATAATTTTTAAAAAAAACGACCAAATAAGTGTTCTACAGAAAGGTTTAACCTTTGCAGTAACACCTAAATTTGCCCCAGCAAAATATATTTTGGCTGTATAGCTCATCAAGACATGAAAACACATAGCCAGGTGGGATACTCTGATAGTGATTGGAGATGTGCAGCATATTGAAAGAAAGCTACAAATGTTAGAGGTGAAGTGAAGGTTTATAGGACTCCTTGTACAAATTCTGGACTAGAGAAGTGTGAAAGGCCCCTGCACAGAAGTCCCTCATGATGGATGGGGTCCAGAGACCCAGTCTAGCTTAGATCAAATTGGTCATGATAGTTCTTGAGAAAAGAACATATACTAGCCCAAAGATGTGAAATGAAAATATTCAGTGACCTTCCAATGCTTAACTTCTGGAGTAAAAGTTAGTTTTTTGTCAAAGAGAAGTCGTAAGAACTTTGTATCAGTTACCATGGAAATTTATGCATCTCCCAGATAAAGCATGGAATCAGAGTGCAAACCCTGCCAGCAGCAAAAATGCAAGCAAATAGTTTTAGTTGAGGTAAATTTGAAACTGTTTACACTGGTGCAATCACACAAGTATTTGTCACCAGTTTGGAGCCAAAGCTCAATATATCTCATATTTGATGACTGACAGAAAATTTGAATGTCATTAACACAGAGGCTATTTGCAACTGTAGGAGGAAGTTGTTCAGAGATAGCATTGATTTTAGTACCAAAAAAGTGTGACACAAGACAAAGCAGTAAGGCACCAAGCAACCCTTATTAATCTCCTCTAAAATGCCAAATCTTTATGGTGTCATAAGTCTTCTCAGGATGAAAAAGGCAGAAACAAGATGCTCCTTCTTGAGGAAAGATTCCTTGATTAATGTTTAAAGTTGAATCAGTCAATTACTAATCTGCAGAAAACACATTGAATGTGAAAGAGGAAGTTGTTTGATTCAAGGAACCAAACAAGATATGCATTAACCATTCTCTCCAAAACATTACAGAAACAGTTAATCAAAGCAACAAGTCTATAATTAGAAGACATCTTGAGATCCTTACCAAGCTTAGAAAAATGAATGTCAATATCCCAACCCCATACATTTGGAATATCTTCCTCCAACAAAATGGTTTAATACAACCAGAAAAAGACTGAGATAGGCAAGAGAGAGATGTCTCAGCATCTTGTAACGGATGTCATCTGGTCCAACTGATGTATTGCCGCTCCAATTCAGAGTAATTTTAAGTTCCACCAGACTAAATACTTCATTATACTTATATGTCCAACAAGAAAATGGCATTTTTTCCACCTGTGTCTTTGATGTTCAAGAAGTCAAGAAAAGATGTGGATGTGCTGTAATGATAGAAAAAAAAAGCACTCTCTAAGGGTGTTAGAATACCCTATAAATCGGCAGTCTCTTGGCCATTGGGTTACAAGATAGGATGGAAGATATATTTTCCATTAACCTTTACAAATTTGTCCCAAACAACCTGTGAAATGATGGTGAAAGAGATGCTGGATATGAATGTAATACAAAATTCCTTCTGCCTTTGACTTGCTGGGCATAGAAACAGCCTTCTCCTGCTTCCACAATGGCACACAAGTTGGGTGGCATTAACCATGGCCAATCTCCCTCAGAAAGATGGTAAAATGAGCACTACTTCAGGAATCATTATCCACCTCGTAAGAAAAAAAGGAAAACAAATGGATAGAGCTATGGCAATAACAGTCTGACTTAGAGCATGAAAATAAGTAGATGTTCCAGTATTTAAAAGAGTAAGGTTTTAATCTGAGAACCTTTGCTCCAAAGATCAACCCCTCTCATTAATATCTTCACCCCAGAGTGGAATGTGCCAATTAATCTTCCAAGATAAAAAATGGAAATGGCAACTGTGCAATAACATTATAAAGGTCCTCCTGATCAAAATCCTGTCCCAGTGCCAATACAACCAATGGAGATATGGATGGCAACAGCTTCCAGTGAGGTATTGAAGGTAAACCAGCAATGCCACTCCTCAACGAACCCATTCGTCTCACAACCTGTTTCTTTTGTACAATGAAAACTGCCAAATGGTGACAGTATGATCAGTTTTCAGGAAAGCCTTTTGTAAGAAGGTAAGAATCAATCAAGGCCTAAATGTGAAAATTAAGAGCGAAACCCCCAAAAGTACCACTAAAACAGTATGGCCATTTTCAGCTAGAATTTTTTTGAAGATCTAGGTAGAAAACATTTATTTTTGTAGTTGTATTAGGTCTACTGACCTCCGTTGATCCTGTCCTGAATCAAAGGTTGTGAACTAATAATTTTCCTACACCTCTGGGCCAATGTGATTGGACTCGATCACTCGCTCTTGTTAGTGGTGGGGATAGAAGATGGGTGTAGACTTTGATTTGTCTATGTAGGGAAGAAGACCCTTAACATGGATAGAGAAATACTGGGTAGGATGGAGAGAGATGTCTGCACTCCCACTGTGGCAGTAGAACATAATGTAACAGAGTAAGTCTGTGATGGAAGAGGTGCTAGAATCTTCCTAGCCTCTTGATAATGTTATTCAAGTTTTTAATTCACATTTATAATCTACAGTAGAAGCTGGGAGAAGTTATGGTAGTTTGATATAGTGTTCTTTTCTACTTCTACACCTGTATACCTCAAGTTAGATGCGACTTTTTTTAAAAAATAATGTTACCACTGTTTATGACGGTGAGAGAATTGACCTGTTTCACTCTCATTAACATGCTCAATAAGAAAATTCTACTTATTGTTGAAAAAGATACCATGCAAAAATTAAAAACCCTATATTGTAGATTAAAATACCTACACATGTATACATATCTAAACTTCAACTCACATAAACCTGAATTGTACACATCAGCAGTAGTATGCACATTACTAAGTAGAGCCAATTTTCTTCCTAATAAAGAACATTAAAAATAAAACCGACAATAAATCTTTGAAAACCGTTATTCCTTATATCAGAGTATTTCAGAAAGAATTAAAAGAGCTTAGTATAAAACTGTACTCACACCATTCAGAGTACCAAAATGAATTTAATCCACCTAGAACCACTTGATTATTTACTATACTGGAGTTGTTTATAAGATTATCCAACTGTATACTATTAATAGCCAAACAAATCACCAATTGGAAGACAGATTTTTAGAAAATAAGATAAACTGCAAAAAAATGTATTGAACCGAAATCGATTGGAACACTTGCATTTCCAATCACACTATAAACCGAAAGACACACAAGAGCACAAATCAAGGGTTACAGCCAACATGCTTTTAAATTTCTTGATTTATGGCATACTTATAACTATGAAATTAAACTCAATCATGATGATGGCCTTATTCACATTCCTAGTTTATCTTACAGTTTTTCAAACAACCATGACTTGCTATTTTCTACAGCTTGCTGTTTCCCATTAATAGAAAAAAAAATTCTTTCAAAACACTGGAGAGAGTTTAAAAAAACTAGAGTTGTTTTTTTTAATCAATTATATTAGTTAATAAATACCTTGCTAATAATAGTAAAACTGAAGTGCAATAAGAAGAGTAACATGTATGAGTCTCAAAGTATACCAAATAAATCTGTGGGTAGGCCTACTAACTTACACTGTAACTTAACCATGTGAGCTAATTTAATTAATCAGTTTCTAAAGAATATGTTAATACCTATAAACAGAGCAGTAAAGAACAGACTAGAACTCCTTATTTATCTAATCCCTGTTCTGCTCTTTCAGTATGTTTATAGGTCACCTGGAAATTCTCTGGTACTTCCTGTGTGTCCTTACAACACATAAAAACATCTGTATTCAAAACTGCTCCTTCTGATGCCATGCTACAAAAGCATCCTATTTTGTTTTAAAGCACGGGGTAAATGCAAATAACCCACATTTACAATTGAAAAATAATGGCAAAAAAAGTATGTTAGTCATCATCTACCATATTTAGTTATCTGCCACAATTGAAAAAGAAAATATATAGGAATGACCAACATGATACTAAAAGGCTCTGAAGTCAAAAATAATAAAACATCAATTGCAGTTGAAATGGTACAAATTGAAAAGGTAAATATATAAGCTACAAAACTATTTGAAAATAATTTTTAAAAAAATCATCAGTTCAAAAAAAAGATGATTTTTAATAGAAAAAATTAATCATATAAAACAACAACAAAAAAGCATTTTCAACTTCAGAACTGGGGTAGCAAAGAAAATATTACATGGGATAAAATAAATTCTTTACTTACATGTTCTAAACATTTTAAATCTCTTTCTTGCATAATACCAAGCAGTGAATTAGGCCCATATAGCTTCAGTGCCATATTATGGTTAAAAATGAAATTCAAGGTTGATTGATTAATTAAGTACAAATTTCATATGGTACAAAATATGATTCTTCAACTTTTTTTTTGTTTTTAAAATTTTAATATATTTCTGGTTTCTTTAAAAGACCAAAAATCCACAAAGTGCATTACACAACCGAATGCAGTTCACAAAAATTGGTAAGTTTTTATACAATTTGTTATTGACACAGCCAATATAAACATATTTTAAGAGAGTCCACCAACACTTTGCTGATGACATTATTTAAGGAACACGGGGAGTCTTTCCTTAAAGATGTTAAGTAACCATACATGTTACCACTGACAGAATTTTGCATTTACTTATCTTAAATTGTTTGTGTGTGTATATATAAAATTAAGCATTGGGTATATCCCATCTATGAGGCAAAATCCAAATGCATATGAAAAACTGGTTAGCACATCGTGGAACTTCAAATAAGGGTGCAGAGTTGAGTGCTTATACCCACAACGTCTCAACTCCTACTGCCTTTCACTGTCTGCAGCCAGTAGAGGGAAGGCAGTTACCCTTAAAATTTCTTTTATTATTAAAATTAGAAAAAATAATAATAAGACCACCCTAAAAATATTTCTATTAAAAGTTCCTAAAGTAGAAAAATAACAATAAAACCACCCTAAAAATATTTCTATTAAAAGTTCCTCCCAATTTCCACCCTTAAAATTTCTAATAGTTCCTAAAGTAGAAAAATAACAATAAAACCACCCTAAAAATTCTACAACAGATTACTCCAAACCTCCACTCTTTCCTAAAAAGATGACAAAAGTATTCAATAAAATATAAAAGATCTTATAATGAACTACATACTCTACCTCAACTTACTTTGTAGTTCATATTCCTTTTGTAAAATTATTCAAGTATAGCATGGGATGGCCGAGATCAGCCCAGTTACTTGAAGTTAGTCTTTCCAGTCCCTGCTATACTGAATAAATTTTAATTTTAGTATTAACTAATTAGTAATAACTATTTAATTAATTAATAATATATATGAAAAACTTTTAATAAATAAATGAATAATTTTTTAGTAAAGAAAATTCCTTTTTGTCACTATAGGTAGTTACCTACCTCTAATTAGTTAATACTAAGATTAAAATTTATTCAGTATAGCAGGGACTGGAAAGACTAAAATTTCCATTTTAGCTTGGAAATATCTATAGTACAAATTTGTAATGCAAGCCTTGTTCAATAATATATCAGTAACAATATGGTTTTAATGATTTACTTCATTTCAGTGGGAATTTTTCTTTGATTCAGTGATATTTTGTTTGTTGTGAGAAGAATGAATTTTTGTAACCTACTTTGTTTCAGCAGGCCTTTTTCTGCTGGCAGCAATGTGAGTCTTCAACAGCTTTCCATACTCTTCAAATGCTTCCTGAGTTCTGCAAGATTCAATATTTGTACTGAATGTAATGGTACAAAACCCTTTCATCTTATTTCATATATAGTTATTATTAAATGAGAAATTATCAATTAAATTTCAAAAATATACATACAAAAACAATGAAATCTGTCACTAGGATAATTCTGTGATGCACAACATCTGCCCTAAGGGCCAAATACAGCTTAACTGCTTTAATTCAGCCCATAAAGATTTTATTTCTATAAAAGAAAAAAAGATGGCAACCATAATAGAAATGTTTTATTATTTGTTAATGAACTACAGACTGTTGATGGGTTTTGTTTCTTCATGTGTGAACATGCCCTCTTGTGCTAAAAATCACCACTGATTCTGTGCAACAGACTTCTTTCATTTGTAGGTGCTTTATAATTATTGAGTAAAAACAGATACAATTTTTAATCAAGTTATTTAGGTCTTTGGAAAAGTTTTTACAAGCCACTTTCAATAATAGGCCTAACTCACAAATAAAAACTAAAAATCTGCATAATAATAAAAGTATTAAATTTCCCCACACAGGATTTGGCTTTTGTCTACATAATACATCTCAGAACTGGCCCCCTCCAAACAAAACTGTACACCAATGGTTTGATATGCCAACATAAGATACATCCCATCTGAATAACACATTTCACTTTCTGAATCTATGGCCAAAGCTGTTGTTTGCTGTAAGACAAAGATTTTTTTGGGAGGGGGGGGGGGGTAATTTTCCCACGTACATAGCATTGACTGAACCATGAATTTTAGTGTTAAGCTCACATAGCATTGACTGAACCATGAATTTTAGTGTTATAAGCTCTTGTTTTACTGATAATCATAAATAAGCACTTACAGATCATATGTCTAGAAAAAAAAGTTACAAAACTGATGTTTTATATCTTGGTTTTTTTTATAATAAAGTTTAGGTAGCTTTAGAAATTATTGAATGTGGTATTGAATCAAAACAATAGAGTTAAGAATAACTCACAATACTGTGATGCTTAATCTAGCTGATGATAGTGTGGTGCATAACCACTTAGCTGACAGTAGTGTTTGCTTACAGACATGAAAAACAAAATAAAAACCACACAAAAAGATATTCAGAAAACATTTGAAGAAATAAAACACAAGATACAACGTTAATAAAAACTAGGAAAACTTAAATTTCACACAACATTTTTGGCCTAAACCTTTCTTCAGGCGAATTTTGTTAATGCCAAATAAACAGGGCACATTCGATTATCACTTGGAACGGTACTATAGAACATGCCAAATGTGTCTCTATAGATAAGGTAACACTACTGATGAATCAACTGTTGTGAAACAATGATGTCAGTGAAAGAGAAGCAGAAGACACAAATATGATAAAAAATTGATTAGTGAGGGACAAGTGTGGAAAAGGTTGTTGGAAGCCAAAAGTAGAATTATATAAACCAAGTAGAGAAATTGTACCTATAGTATAAATTAGACATTGCTTTTAACTTTCATGCAAATAACTCTGTTGGTGTAGATCTCAGAACAAGTCTGAGATGTGATAAGTCATGTTTGCCATCTGAAAAGTGTATCTTGAGACTGGTATGTCAAAATTATATGTCGTATGTGTCCAAAACATTTGCCACTGATTTTGCAGCCAGCCTCGCCAATGTACAGCAAGTTACAAAGGTCATAAACATAACAGATTCTAATAAACAAGTAAATGTATATTTAATGTACAACAATATCTGGGACAGTAAAGTTTGATTATCAATGTGTTGACAAGTTACAAAACCTGTGCAATGCAGGGAGTGAAGATCCAGGAGAATTGTTGAGATGAGCATGAATAGTAAAATTAGCACAAAAATGGTATCCTGAAAGCACTGATTGCATCTAAAAGCAACAATAAGTTGTTCAGTAAAAATACCCTTAGTTGTTAGTATTAATTTGTAGAATGTGAATGATTATTTTAGTGACTTGACGGGACACAACTGGGTGAGCTTATGGCATGTTTTTTGTAACAATGTTTCAAGAGTATTCTCATGCAAAGAGACGTAAAATGGTATCAGTAGAATGTATAATGGTATAAATAGATGTTATATCACCCATAAAGATCACAACAGAAGAATTTGTGGGGATATTAAAAATTGTCAATTATCTGAAGAGCATGTGTGGGGTGTCTAATGTAAGAAAGAAAGTTTTGTGGCACAGTTGTATGCAAAAATGATGGGTCTTTCTAGACCCTCAGGTTTATGAATTGTGGGAAGTAGATAAAAGATGGACAGTCTAAAATGGGATTGAATAAGATTTTCCTTCAGTTGAGAGTTTTGTTTTGTGGATAAGTCTGCTTATGACCTCAGTTATTTGAGTTTGTATCTTACAGAGAGGATCATCACCAGTGACAGGTTTGTAAAATGATGTGTAGGACAAGTGTCTTTCAGCTTCAGCCATGTAAAGCTCAGAGCTGCCTCCTTTGTCAGATCTTGATTTTAAGTTAGAAATGGCTTGATGTTCCTCCTTAAATAGGTTATCAGATGGTGATAATTCTATGTTTGCAACAATTTGAAATGTAATGAACTGCAGGACATTTCCCCAATGCCAACTGGAATCCAGCACATACATCATGTTGCATATAACCGCTGAACAGATATTAGTGTGATGGTAATCATTTAGCTGAGAGCAGAGTGATACTTAAGAACTTGACTGAAAATAAGATCATTTTGCCATTTAAGCTGAGCTTTAGTCTAATTATGTTTCTTCTGGCTATTCCATTATAGTTGTTTACCATGTATTCGTTTACTATTAATGATAAAGTATTGAAAAAATCATTTCAGTAATAACAAAAAATTTGCAAAGAATAGAAGTATGTGACTGGATACAGAAATAATATCATTAACCAAAAAATGTAAGAATTTATCTTATTTCAAATTATATAGTAGTTAGGCATCTTAGTGCTAACAATCCCAAAGACTAGTAGGAAATCTACCTGTTACTATCACTCCCAAAATCTTCCAGAAACTCCAGTTTTCTCTGGCAGAATGTCAGCTTTTGCTCCAATGTCAGCTGGCTATTCAGAGCCTTATCAAAAGCCTGGATTACCCCATCTTCATCAAGCGGAGACTGCTGATACCCTACATCAACCAGCTGCATGTGGAGTTGGGGGTTAGACTGTAAAAACACAGCAAGTAACAAATTGATTAGTTAAGTCAACAAAAAGTCTTCCAGTTACGAAGGAGAAATATTCTCTGAAAAATTGGAGACTGAATTGCCAGCAATACTCATATATAAGAAGATTTACCTCAGCTAAAACAATGGTGGTTCAAACCTCTTTTGTAAAACCACCCCACTTCCTTGTTGTAATAAGCTAAAGGATGGGTTCGCCTTGATCATCTGTGTGTCTGTAAGGGCTAGAAAAATTCATGATTGTTACTCAAATTATCACAGCCTTGGAATTACCAACTTACTCTTAAGAACTTTTCAAGAATTGCCCGGATCTTTGAAATAGCAACTAAAAACTGAAAACATGTTTTTACACTTACCCCATCTTTCTCAACAGCTTCATTTAACACTTCTGTAGCCTTGCTATAGTCTTCCTTTACCTGCAATTAAATTATATTAGCTTATATAATCAGCTACTTGACACATCTAACTAACTCACAGAAATCAAATATCAGGCAGTCCTTAATGAGAGAGATTTAAAAGGTAAATATATGCAAATATACAAAATATACAAAAAAATATACAATTTATAAAAAACAGGGAATATGAAAAGGAATATGTTTGTCAACTGAGTTCTAAGCAAGCTTACAAAATTAGTTATAAAACTTCTGTAATACTTCGACTATTTTTTGTTAAAATTCTGAAGTTAACCTACATATAATTGTTTCTCAATCAACACACTGATACTTCTTATGTGATACATGACAAATATTTTAGCAGTATATTTTCATCCTTTTTTGTAGTATCTCACATTCACTTTAAAATTGACTTAACTCTCTCACTATGATGTCAGTCAAGATCGACCAGCCTCGTAACCATTTTGTATTCATTACAGTTTCCACACTATAACATTTAATACATTAAGTGCATCATCACAAAATTTGACAGACTTTTAGTAAAAGTTACAAGTCTTTTGTATATAAAAAAATCAGGTTTTTAATGAAGTATTGTTGCTAAAGATTTGTCAGTGAATATATAGTATTGTTTTTACTAGTCTGAGTGCAATTCAAAGTTACAATTAAAAATACTTTTCTTCATCTCAAAAATCTCAAATTTCACTTGCACAATCACTTAACACCTCCTAAATAAATTTCATTTTTTGTTTCAGTAAAACTATCTTATCTGTTATTTTCTCTACCATAACTTTATACTAGGTTGTTCAAATGACTGACCTTGCAACCACACACACAAAGGATTGAAATAAATCTAACTTACCATATTTTTCTTTTTCTGGAATGATTTCAAATTGTAAAATGAAACTACATTTGTTTATCCTAAATAGCTTTAAACTTGTAACACTGTACACCCATTTATATTTAATTTTTATCATTTTATTGCCTTCTGAACCATGTCTGACTACTAATCATGCTATTATAAGTTGTAAACAGTTGCCAAACTTGCAGCTCATGTTACGCTATCAAATTACATTATGCATGAGCTACTTTCAAGGGTACCTCATGAAAAGTGTTTTGGCTTTCTAACTATGCGACAAGACCCATCAAAAACTCATAAGTTCATATATGTATGTTTCTGGTGGTAATAAAGCTTGAAATGAAAGCAAAATTGACAATTCTCTATACAGAAAACAATGTAATATAATACGTCATTTGACAGAGTAAAACCTTGGATTTCTATTGGTTATAAATAATAGTTATAGTATTGAATGTCAGAGAGAACTATTGGCAATTTCTGTTAGAGAGGATGTGTCAGGTAGGTGTGGTAAGAGGAGTCCGATGGCTCTATAACCAAGATTGAAGACTATAAAAATTATGCTTTACCTGATCATTGACAACATTATAATGAGTAATTTAAGTTACATTTTGTATTTCTTGGAGGAGTGGTAAATAAAATAAAGAGGGGATGCCTAGAAGAAAATGTCAATTCTTTATACAAGGAGAAATTCAGGTTTTTTTTTTTTAAATATTGCCTTCTAAAATTAAGAAATTAAAACTTATATACTATTAAAATGTAGATTATTAGCCATGTTTTTATGTTATACTTATTGGTATACCATGAAAAGAAAGTAGTTTAATTTGTATCTGATGATGACAAAACCTTGTCGAAATGTTGTACATTTGCTGTTATGTTAAATTTATATTAAAGTTTTTCTTCATTACCCATTCAAGCCATCGCCAACCGTTAGTAGTTTAATTAAATTTTGAATGCTACTCATGAAAACCTTGTAACATGTTCAGAAAGAAAAAAAACAACCTGTGGAGAGAGGGTTAACCAGTTGTATTGTTTTATCACATTCCAAAAATAAAATAAAATATACTGGATAAATTAATTTCAAATTCAGACTGATCTTCTACAGATTATGTAGCTTCTGTAAAATATTTTTTATACGTGATATTTGTACAGATTTGAAGCTTTGAAATTTTGAAAATTTCATTTTGATGTTTTTTTAAGAAATGCCAATTAATTTTTATGTCTTCCTAAAACTCTGCAAGACTATTTTTTTTATAAAGTTTCTATTTTATAGAACTGTAAGTTTCATCGTTGTTTGATTAGAAAAACACTATACACAGTTTCATTGTGATTATGATCACTAGCATACAATGAAAACTTTTTCAAATTGTTAATCAGAAAGTTTCCTCTGATATATGAAATAAAGTTCCAAACCCATTTTATACTGAATTATATATATATCTGTGTGTGTGTGTGTGTGTGTGTGTGTGTGTGTATATACACTTATAAACTGTCAAAGATTTATTCAAGTATGACACAGGAAAGCTAAGACAGGCCTAGCTACTTGAAGTTGGTCTTTCAAGTCCCGGCATATTGAATAAAAAACTGGTTTTATAACTAAGTTAATTATTCAAGGTTACCCTTGATAAACTAACAACCTCTAAGTAAGGAGTTTTCCATAATTAAAAGTTTATTTTAAAAATAGTAAAAAATATTCTGAGTTGTGTATCTCTATATATCCATTATTTTTTAGTTTATTTATGAATAAGAAAACATTATCCATAAAAGAGTTATTACTACTGCATACCGTTAAAAATCTTTTCAGTTGTGATATAATAATCTATTTTAACAATACATTAGGAATAACACTATGTGGAGCAGGTAAACCAAGAATGGGAAAATTAAATTTCCTTCTTTTATCAAAAATGGTCAACTGAATTCTGCCTTCTACAAAATAAATGTCTATGTCTAGATAATTAGTGTAAGAATCATGGCTATCCCTTTTTCTATAGTCAGTTCCTTAGGATATATTATATTTGGTGCTAATTTTCATTTATTTATTGAAATCAAATCATCAATATATCGAAATGTATAGTTAAATGAATTGGGATCTAAACTTTTTTTTAAAAATAAATATTCATAGAACATATATATTTGAAGATAAATTATCACACATAGGAATACTCACCGTTTGTTTATAAATCTGTTGATTTAAAGTTGTATAACTATTATAAATGCAGAAGTACAGTATATTTTTTGCATTGGATCTTAGTAAATGTATATTTTGTAATACCCACCTCTGCATCATAAAGTTATCAAATAGGTTATTAAATACTCTAACAAGGTCTTATAAATCTATTGTGGTATACAATATGGTAAAATCTTAAATGGTGACAGAACTGGCTGTTTTTAAAAAATTAGATTATTTAGATATTCTGTACTTGGAATGTTATTTTTATAATAAAAAACTTTTTGATAAGACTGTTTTTATATTTTTAAATAAAATACAATGGAAACAGATTTGGTAACAGTATTTAAAGAACTAGTAATAAATCTAAATTTTACAGGATTCATATGCAGATTAGGGATAGCATATAAAAATTGTAGTTTGTGTATATATTCCATTTTTAACAGCTTTCTTTCTATTAGTAATAATAGTCTCTTTCTTTAAAGCAGCTTTTGCAAAAGTACTTAAGATTTTGATTTCATTAATTAAAATTTGGGAATATAATTTTTAAATATATAGCCAAAATTACATCCCGGTTTATCAATAGGTTAACAATAAATTTATCTTGAACTTTATTTTGTTTTTAAAGACATTAAAGGACAAGTCTATTTTATATCTAGATAAATTTAAGGTTCTTAACCCTCTCGCCCTGTGTACCATTCACTGCGTATGACACAAGGTTTTGGTGTCTTACATTCAAAATTTTATTAAACAATAGCATAACGTGAGCTGCACATTTCCCGAGTGATTTACAACTTATAATGGTGCAGATAGTAGTTAGACACAGTTGAAAGGAAAATAAAACAATACAATTTAATTATAAATAGATGTATACTATTACGAACTTGGATCTACTTGGGATAAACAAATGTAGTTTCATGTTACAATATGAAGCCATTTTAGAAAGAAAAAAGGTAATTTAGGTTTATTTCAATTATTGTTTTGGAGGTTACGAGGTATATTGAATTGACCAATCCCGTTTTGACATAGGGTGGAGAAAATAACTGATAAGCCATAGTTTTACTGAAAGAAAACGTTTTAAATGCATTTAGGAGGTTTTAGGGATTACACAAAGGATATTTGAGAAGAGGAAAAGTATTTTTAGCTTTAACATGAAAATTGCTTTGTACATGGACTATTCAAAACAAATATTCAATATGTTAATGGATGAATTGTTAATTTATTTTATTAAAAATACTTCACTAAAAAATATGATTTTTTGTATGTGAAAGACATATATGAACTGAAAGACTGATAAATTTTGCAAAGATATACATACTATATCGAAAATTAGAAGTATTAAATCTATAAAGACTAATCGAGTAAAAAGAGGTCACATAGTCGGTCAAATTGACCGAGCCCGTGTTGAGAGAGTTAATTAAGTTTTATTGCATTTAATAATATTTAGTTTCCCCTGAAAAGAAACACAGTGGGAAATATGTTTTCTTTTTTACTTATTTCAATAACAGTTATCTCTCATTTTCTAGATTTTTTTAAGATGTCAGATCTGTCTTTTTTAAAATTCAAAATTTAGTACCAATTTATTAAAATTAATTTCAATTCATTATCTTCTGTTACTTCTAAATTACCTGTTACTATATGATTATAAAAAGTGTCCTTAAATTTATTTTTACTACAAATACAAGGTAAATTATCTATTTCTAAAGGATTAAATTCTTCAACTGAATTTTTTATAATTAAAAAGAAGAGGCCCAAATAGGTTTGTTATATTTAAAACTGACTGTAGGTTGAAATTATTTTAAAGGAAAAATATTTTCTTGAACACTTTTATAAATAAGGTATGGTAAAGATAAATCATTTTCAAATTTCATGCGAAATCTTTATAATTTCCAGATAAGTATAAAATTTTTTGTATAAAAAGCTCTATTTTATTTATTATGTTAACTAGTGTATTTCTGTATGTAGCCAACTTCGTAACATCAATAATAAATTAGGAAAAAAATGTTGTTCTTTTGATTAACTACAAATTATAACACAAACTTTTAGTCTAAATAGCTTAAATCTAATAACGTCATACATTTATATATATTTATTATATCCACCTTCCAGCCATGCCTGGTTAACAATACAGAAGTTACATTGACACAGTGCACATGTACTCATATTACCATATCCAATAATATGTAACTGACCTTTAGTCATTACAAAGTGACCTGTCTTTGGCTGTGTTTTAGTGGACTAGTATTTAGTAAAATACAGTCACATTTCAACTATTATAGATTATATATGTATATACATTATTTCTATTTACAAATAGGCTCTTAATCTTATTTTTCTTAAAACACAGAACAGTAAATAAAGTAAAGCAAACAATTATCTCTCTTAATTATGACCTTTGTACTCGTTTGCTGTTTGTTATAGATTGCTAAGCCTTATGAAATTTCCCACATGGAGGATGCAAAAAGAAATTTTT